AACGGCCATATTTTGCCCTTTTCCGGGGGGTGGGGTACGTGGGGCATTGAGCCTAACCCCCCCCAAAAAAACCAAGAACTATCCCCAACCCTAAAGCTAACCCCGCCTAGACTCAGCCATCCACAATACGTCCTCCATACTAAAACCATGTTGATAGTGACCCACACACTAAATTCAAGACATTTTGTGGTCCACATTAAAACCAAGACACTTGCGGGGCAAAAAAATAACAGAGTAGGGCCCGAATCCCCCCGCCCTCTACTCAGCGACCCACATCGCGCCCCCCTATACTCAAAGCAGTATAATAGTGGCCCCACACTAAAAATAAGACACTTGGGTGTTCCACACTAAAACCAGGACATATGCGGGCAGAAATAGTGTCTGTTGGTGTCGGTGGGCCCACCGCACCGTTGGGTATCCGTACTTGGCCCGGCGGAATAGCCGCGCAGCCTCCACTGCAATTGCAATGCGGCGGCCCACTGAAAGCTCACCGCCCTTGGGGCGATGTGGGGGGGGTACTTGGGGGCGTATCCATGGTTTGCATAGTGTGTGGGGGGTGGCAATCACGACTGATCTCACGAATTCTAAAAAAAATCTCATGAACGTTCTCAAAAAAAATCTCAAAACAGGCCAAAATGGGCATATTTTGACCTAATTTTAGTGTATAACACGGTCTTCGATTTGTTTTTTTTTAGTCAGCTTCGCATATGTCTTGCCTTTCTAACGCACCCAGCCAAAGGCTAAACGTCAACGTGTAAGTATCTTTACTACTACACGCACATAACAGACCAGACTTATGATACAGAGGAAGTATATCACTAGAGGACATCCTATAGCAGCGGAGGGTGTGTGTTGGCGCGCTCAAATCTGCTTCTGTGGTGGTGATATCGAGGGTCGTAGTAGCCGCCAACAATGCCCACAATCTCCGCAAAGTAAAAAATCACACCCTGTACAAATATCAAATGTAAATACAACTATTATTTGAGTGTAATCAACTATTTCGGGTATTTGCCTGTAAACAAAGAGTTCCCCTCGCTGCCTCGGCAAAGTTTTGCGTAGGCATGACCCATAGCATGAGGGGGGGTCTTTCTAGCGAGCAGGGCTAGACTCACCCTCAAGGGACCGATACCTTGTTGCTGCGGCGCACCCGCCGCGAGGCGTGCGTAGTGGTGGAGTTGGGTCGGCACTGGTGCGTCAGGTACAAAGGTGCAGATGCGCGGGCCTCCAGGCCGTCGGTGTAGGCAGCAATGCCCATCTCATCTTTGTGCGCGGAGGCAGACGTCATCAGAAAGGTGGACGGGCACTATGTACACGGCCCTAGGTTTGCTAGAGGGAGCTGTACTGTCTCAGTAACCTGGTTTTGCCATCAAAGGAGGAGGGAACAGGTGGTGACGAGCTGATTGGGCTGGTTGACCCTGGCGCGAGAATTTTTAGACCAAGAACCCTAAGTGCAACGAGGGAGAAAGCGAGGAACCGACTGGGAAGGACAGCAACGAGAGCGTGTACGAAGCGGAGCGGGTCGAGTTTGGTCGTGCTAGGACTGGCCACAGCGGCACCGGAGCAGGCGAACGGCATCGAACCGTGGCGCACGGACAAGCATCTTTTGTGTTATCAATTATTTTTCCGTCTTTTTCCTGAAAACAGGTGTTGGGTGTGTGTGACGACGTCACTGGTTTTGTAGAGAGACGCGGCAGAGATGGCGCGGATAACCCGGGTGCCTTCATTGTGTACCTGCATCGTGGAAGACCCCTTCAATGTGGAACGATTCCTAGTCAGTGTCGATGTTTACACTGCTGTGCCCAACACAGATGATCTGGATAGATTCGGGTGATTTTCAATTGCAATGATGGCTTTGGTTGGGTGTTCTTCTTCATTGTATGTCCACGGACTCATTCTGACAGCACTTCAGACAGCAGCTGCATGCCCCGAGCTTGTTTACCATGCACCATGGTGTTATTATTGTACAGACAGCACTTCAGACAGCAGTACGCTGTAGTCGACATTCATTTCGGTTAAATGCAGGACAAGGGGGGTGACGCTGCTGCTGTAGTCGATTTGGAGTGTGTGGGCGTGTAGTTCAGTTGTGAGCATGCAAACGTGCCGCAGGGATTGCAGGTGTACCTCCTCGGGCTTGCGTACCCTTTTCTTGCTAATAGTGGGTGTTCTTTAGATCTTCTGATGTCTAGCATTTTTGTGACCACGGACCGAGTCTTGGCTAGATTTTGGGATTAGCAACTGACAAAAGTTTAATGTGAAGAATGACAACAACAACAACAACAACAACAACAACAACAACAACAACAACAACAACAACAACAGGGGTGTCAAGAGGTAGTTGCTCGGAACCAAATAGTTGCGCAGCTATTCTGAAAAGCGGTTGACTGCGATCAAATAGGTGCGCAGCTATTCAAAACAGTAGTTTTGACTGCAATCAAACATTTCAGCTCAAGATTTCTGAAAGTAGTTGACTGCAATCAAATAATTGCTCAGCTTTTCGAAACAGTAGTTGATTGCTATCAACGAAGTTGGCTCTTCTTTTCAAAACAATGCTAAGTAGTTGATTGGAACCAAACAGTCGCTAGCGGGCAAATAAATTGTGAGGGCGGAGATACTGAATCATTNAAGTAGTTGACTGCAATCAAATAATTGCTCAGCTTTTCGAAACAGTAGTTGATTGCTATCAACGAAGTTGGCTCTTCTTTTCAAAACAATGCTAAGTAGTTGATTGGAACCAAACAGTCGCTAGCGGGCAAATAAATTGTGAGGGCGGAGATACTGAATCATTTACCGTTGGATTTGACCTCTTCAGCCTGGAACAGCAAGCAGTTGTCAGAGTTAGTCAGTTGAAACCAGTACCAGTTTCCTCCAAGATCCAGCCCACGGGCCCACGGCACGGGCCACACACACGCACACACACGGGCTGAATGTCAGCATGTCAGCTACAAATGTCCAAGCAAATACATAAGCAAATGCTGCTGATCCGCAACCCGATGACCCTGCCGGAGGAGGAGCTGGGCAGTCGGCAGCAGCAGCGCGAGTGACTGTGGACGTTGACGGAGCTGCGGTTGAGGTACGTGAAACGCCAAACACAACAACCACGCACACACGGCCTTGCAACCACGCACACGCCGACCTGCATTTAACTGGTACATGCCTGCTGTTCACACTTGTCTTTCGTGACTACTGTCGCTCTCCCGTGCGTTGGAATCGATTCGACGCATGTGAAACGTGAGCACCACACACGTGCATTTCAACAGACAAGTGGCGTGCAAGTGTCGGCGTAAATCAGCGCATTTGACCTCAGACGTGTCGCTGTCTTGCCGAGCACATGGCAGCCTCGCGCGTCATTCGTGATTTTCTTTTTCTTACAAACTCCCGTTCTCGATGTACTGAACTAACACAGGAAGGTGAGCAGGTCACAACTGCGATCGAGGACTTCGTGCCTCCAGACAGTCACGAGATCGTACCCAAGTCCGACCGATCGATCTCGAACATATACAAGTACGGCGTCAAGGTGAAACACAATCCCTCCGGCAAGTGGTTTTTCGCATGTTTCGGGAGTGCATGTTGCCGGGCGAACTTGGCCGCGGGCATCTTCATCGCCATCGGCGAGAAATCGGTATCAAATGCTAACGACCACATCAAGGAAGCACGACGCAGGCGAGTGATGCTCCCAAGCAGTCTTGATTTTTGTTGTCATTGGTTGTACGCTGCCGTCGTTCGCGAGTCCGCGCGCGAAATTTCATTTTTGTTCATTTGACCTGGTGTACGTTTGCTACCCATGTCCACACATGAACAAGAAAATAGAAGTGCTTAGTTTTTGTTTCGTTTCATTTGTATTTGGTGTACGCTGCTGTTGTCCATAATCCACACACTAATTTCGATTGTTTTATGTACACTGCCGTCGAATCGTGATTATATTACTTTTATTTTGCTGTACGCTCCTTTTCTCCATTTAAGTATATACATGCTGGGAGTTTTATATTATATGTACATTCCACATTCCACACACGATTTCATAATTTTTTTATTTGCTGCCGTCCGCAATCCACCGCACATGATTTTTTTACTACGGTTATATTGTGCAAATTACGAAAGTATAGAGAGTAAAATCCCAAAACAAACACCTCCCGACATTGAATTTTGTGTTGAACCATCACAGCGACTTCCAAGAAGACTGTAGCCGCGAAGGCGAAGACAAAAATCGACTAGACTTGCGGGTGTCGAAGGCCGTGTCGTCTGCCATGTACACCCGTGCCCATCCGCGGTTTCTGGCCATGAAGTGGGTCAAGTGCAACATGATCGAGGGTTTCTGCCCGGTGTCTCATGGCGAGAAGGAGTGGGTGCGAGCGAGCTTGAAGCTGACTGCTCTCAAAAACTTCCCCATCACTGGCATCCACAACGAGGCCGTCAAGCAGATGGTCGTAGAGATGTACGCCGCGACCGCTTCCCAGTTCAAGATGGAGATGGCTGCCCAGATAGGCGGCATGCGGCTTCTGCACCTTAGCCTCGACCTATGGGTGGACAAGTTCTCGAGCTTGAAGTACGTCGGTAAGATAAAACGCGTGACCAGAAGCTGAGCGCTTGTTGTTGTAGCTGAGGTACCATCTCTCCGTGCACGCCACTTGCTTTGGTTCCGTCGCTTCGAAAAGCCGAAAAGCGAAGTTGCTGCTCGACAACGGTTGTGAACATCGACATGTGCCATTCGCGCCAATGCTAATTCTCATGTTTTGTTTGCTCCCTTCGTTGATTCGCGCTCGTTCTTGTTCTCTCCAGGTATTCCATTGTTCTACGTCGACCGGACCTGGGTGCTGAGGTCTCGCCTCATCGCAGTTCGACAGTTCAACCCCACCAAGGAGCTGCTCGAGGACAACCGCCTCTCGGCTCTTGTGCAGAAGCACCTCGAGAGCGTGCTTGAGGAGTACGGCCTCGATGTGTCACTTGTCTTCTCTGCGACGAGCGACTCTGGCAGCGACGTGAAGCGACTGTGCGACGTACTGCTGCCGGGGCTGTGGGAGTGGTGTGTGTGCCACATGATCAACTGCGCGTTGGTCGAGGTGAGGTTGCGATGGTGGTGGTTTTCCGCCGTACTCAGTTTTGGCGATGCATGCTTACAAGTCCTGGGTTTTGGGTCGTGTCTTTAGGTGAAAGGCGAAAAGTGTGCTAAAATAAATCGCCGTGAGCTACGACTGCGTCCTCAGTTGAGTTTTGAAAGGAGACGTGCGGTAGCAGCAGTGGTATGTAGTACAGCGTAAGAAACGAGCGAGAGGCATGAATGCGTAGACGCGCTTGTTGGAGTGCAGGACGAGACATCGTTCGTGGTGCTCCCTGTCCTTTGCGCGACAAATACAAATAACTTTATTGACGTTGATTGATCCCGCTCGCTCATATCCTGGATGACAGGCGTTCGGTACGCACGTGGATTCGGCCAAGTCGAGAAACCCCGGTGCACGCAAAGTGATCACGATGGGGAAAAAGGTTGTGGAGCACATCCCCAAATCTCCCAGAGCGAAGGTCAGTTTTGCCGTAGTGATTGGCTGTGGTGATGTAGCGCTACCAACGATTACGAGTGGTTCACGTACGAGTAGGTGCCAATGCTTGTTTTCACAAGAGAGTCATCTGCGAATTACTCGCGTACTTCTCATGACGTTTGAATTGTCGTGCGAGCACCTCCCCGCGAATTACGTATTCAGAATTCCTCACGTGTCGAAACACGCCACCCTCCCGCCCCCCCCCCGTCCCCCCCCCACAAAACAGGCCATCTTCGAGCAGGAGCAGGTCAGGCAGTACGCGCAGTGTTACCACCGCAAGCTGGTTAACGCCGCACCCCAGCGGTGGTCAGGGGTGACAAACGTCTTGGAGGCGGTCATCGTCAACCGTGCAGCCGTGAACGCCGTGTACACGACGGAAGGCAAGGACAGTCCGCTCACGTCCCTGACTAACGAGATCGACGAGTTGTAATCCATCATCAAGCCGGTCGCGCAAGTCATCGTCAAGTGCCAGCAGACATCTGTCCCTTCCGGGCAAGTTGCGGTGCTTGCCCTGGCGGCGCTGAAGCTCACTACGCTCCACGTCGACTCCCCGCTCGAGATTTTGACCCCGGCGCGCAAGCTGGCTCAGGCCGGGGCAAGCGGCATTGGTGGCGGGGAGCGACCGGCCACCAGCACTACCCGCGAGCACAGCTTGTTGACTGGCGTGGCCAAGGGTACTCGCCAGCAAATGTGCAAGTCCGTTGACTGGCGGTGGTTCGACAAGCGCTGCAAGAGCGCCGAGAGCCAAGACACGGACTATGTGCTCGATATGCAGATAACCTTCCACCCGACCACGGCTGACCTGCGGTACGTGGGCAAGCTCGCGTCAACGTCAGCGTTCGGTGGTGCTGACCAAGTCGACCATCACCGACAAGGTCATCTCCTTGGCTGTGAAGCTGGCGGAGGCAGCGGCACTCCACACGGGGAATGGATCAACGACGCCTGCCGGGTCTGCTGCTGCCAATGAGCCCGCTGCCAAACGTGCTCGTCAAGCGGCTGCTCCCGGGAGCGTGCACCCCCTGTTCAAGGCCCCCGTCAACAAGAGGGAGGAGGCGACTACAAACATATATGCCAGCCTCGGCCTGTTTGGGCCAGGGGGTGACGGGCAGAACGAGGAGCCGCCGTCTTTCGAGCAGACTGCTCGCGCCGAGCTCACGAAGCTGAGGGCTGTCCAGTGCGGCAGTCTCGCGGCCGGGTTGAGTTGCGAGGATGTGCTCAAGTGGTGGAAGATGGGGACCCACGCCTACCTGCTTCTGACTGGGGTTGCACGCGTGGTTTTCGGGGCTCCTGCATCGGCGGCAGCGCTCGAGCGTGATTTCAGCAATGCTGGGCGAATGATGACTTCTTCCAGGAGCGCCATGGACAGCAAGTACTACGTGGAGATGATTTTGTTCCTGCACGGGAACCTGGACCTCATCCCCGAGGACATCACCACGCTGACCGAGGCTGTTGCACGAACGATGTTCCCCGGGCGGTTGGCGAACCCCGTCGAGGGGCTGAAACAGCTCGACGGCGCTTTCACGCCTGTGGACCTCACCGATGAGGAGGCGTCGGATTAGAAGTTTGGGGCAGAAGCATGGGGAAAGTTGGCACGGTTGCGCTTGATGGCGGTCAGGCCAGCCGCAAGTACGAGCTGGCTGCCGAGAGGTCGTGGGTGGATCTTTGATCTTTGCCGATACTTGGTGGCCACGAGACGACCGTGGTCTCTAGTCACGAGAGGATTACCGGGATGGTGGTCGGTTGGTCTATTGCAATTTATCATTCTTCGTTCTGGGTGGCTTCAACTCGCGTAAACGATGATTGACGTAATGTAATATATAGTCGGGGCAAAACTCATTGTTTTTTTTGTCGCTTCGATTGACTTATCTTGTTGATTTACGTCTCGATAACGGTGGCTCAGATACATGCACGCACTATTGATTCGAGGATGCACGTTTCCGGAACCAATCTTTATCTTCCATCCAATGACGTCAGGCTGGGCTCCCTCCTGTCCCCCGCCCCCTCACTTTTAAGCACAAAATGTTCAAAATAGTTTTCAGGACAAACATAAATAGTTGACAAAGAGTTGCCTCCGGGAGTAATTGAGCGGAACCAGCAGTAAAAGTTGCGCAGGTTTTCAAGACAGCAGTTGACTGGAACCAAATAGCTGCGCAGCTTTTCAAGACAGCAGTTGACAGGAACCAAATCATACCGACACCCAGTGTCTTTTACTTGTGCTAACCGCCACTAACCCCAATCTCCGGACCGGAGGGTTTTAGCAACTGCTGACAACCCTCCGATCAGAGGTTTACGGTCCGCGGCGGTGAGCATGGCTGTGAAAAATGTTCGATGCCGCTTGGTTCCGGCGCAGCTTTCGGACTGTTTTCTGAGGCTGGTGTGTTGCGACCTTTGATATTTCAGCTCCAACAGCAAACCTGAACTTGCCAGCACGCTCGACTCCTCTTGATGTTTTTTTTTTTGTTTTTTTCTCTCCCATCATTGGCCTCTGTCGTCTGCCCCTCTGGCCCCTATCCTCCACTTCTACTAGCTAGACGACCCAACCGGGGTCACATAGGAGGGGGGGTTGGACCCCCTCCTGCGGCTCTTGCCTGATATATTTTTATAGCGAGAGGGGTACAGCAATCCCTTCCCTCGCGACTCAAGAAGTCGATTAGGTTTACTAGCGAGCTTTGAAGCGCGTCGCTTCCAACGGAGACCAGGTTTGAATAAGCGAGAAAGAACTCACTTTGTCGGGACCGGAATCCATGACCTGGCCCTTAGCAGGCTGCAAGGCTACCCACTAGACCACCGGGGCGACCGTGTGTGGTGTCCTCTACTGATATTTGTACTATTATTGTACAGGCTCCTCAGACGGGAAGGTTGTTTTCTTTCTTATTGTTGGATCGAAGTACATGAAGAAGAGTCAGCGTCAAAATCCGTTTTCTGTCCCCCCTTGAATATGGCAACCATGCTGGGGAAAATCCGTCGGATAAACAATTCTCGTGTTGGCAAGACCCATTGCCATTCGTAGTGAACTCGTGTCGAAGGCGTCGTGTACAGCAAGAAAGTAAAGCACCCAGGATTGAGACTGGTCCGCCCAGGTACTATTGCCCATGGAGGAGGCGTGTTGTAGCACACGCTCTAGCGGATGGCCTCGGTGCAGCAAGTACTGTATCCGCTGTGCGTTGTCGATGGGGTCGACGGACAGAAGTTCCACTCTCTCCTACACCGAGCGGTAATAATCCCCCTGCATGACGCCGACCGATATCATGCCAATGCCACGCACAGCTGTAAGCCGTAAGCGTGGAATCAACAATATCATTCTGTTGGTGTTGATGTCGATGTTGAGGTTGTTGTCAGGCCGTCATTATCTTCGCCTAGAGTTATTCCCTTGGTTGTACCCTGCGCATTTTTCTGTAGAAGCAACATCCGGGCACTGGCAATAAATACGGGTGGACCGGCATGGGCACATCGTGGCTTTTTTTCTTTCTTTCAACGCGCGTGCGTGCGTGTACTGCACAACAACGGTTTCCAGTGCAGATCAAAGAGAGCCGGCAAGACCTATTGTCCAGGATTTATTAGTAGCCTCCACTCCTCCCTTCTTCCCCTCGCTCCTCCACAAGCTTTTGCTTAGACATGGGTTGTAGTGAAGGGGGGGGTCTTTCTGGCGAGCAGGGCTAGATTCACCCTCAAGGGATGACCGAAACCTTCTTGCTGCTGCGCATATCCGCCGCGAGGCATGCGCGTGGTGGTGTAGTTGGGTCGGCACTGATGGGGTCAGGCGAAAAAATGTAGATGCGCGGGCCTCTGGCCGTCGGCGTAGGCAGCGATGCCCATCTCATTT